GTAAAGGAATGTTCCACAGCACAGCAGGCTTGTCTTGTCGCAGTGTTTGCATCCTGCAGGTTTACTCACATAGTTCATTATTCCTGTTACTTCTTCTGTGACCTCCCTGGAGTAGCTGGGAAGCCACAGGGCTCTTTGTTGTGAAAACAATGGTTTTTGCTAATGTAATCACAGGGAGCAGGTAACTTTGAGAATCTCTAACCCCCCCCACACACACACACACATACATCCCTGGGGTGATCAACACCGACTTCTCATTGGCTTGTTTGTTCTCTTAGTGTCTCCAGGACTAGGAGACTCCCTTGGGGCAGAAGTTCTCTGTCTTCCTCTCCAAGGTGCCCTAGAACACACCTGGTCTGCTCTCGAGGGAGCTCGGGCGCTGCAGCCCAGGTGCAGGGACGTGTGTGTTCCCATTGCGTAGATGCCCTGCCATCGTCCTGGGCAAGCAGCCCTTTGCATCTGTCTGCCCCCTTATTAGCCGGTGGGCTTTTTGGACTTAGGGACTGTGGTCTGCAGGGAACCTGACAGTGCCACTTCCCTGCTGGCGTCTGCTGGTCTCAGATGGCCAGGTGAGGGCTCAGCGCCTGGTGTGACTGCGGGTCCTGGTTTCTTGCCTCTGCTTGCTTTGTTTTCAGGTATGCTGTAAACAGGACTGACGATAGGTGAGGCTCACTCTAACCAAGAGTGCTGACTTGCTTCCCAGCCGGCAAGCTAAAGTCTTTGTCCGCCCCTGAGACTCACTCCGCGGCTCCTTACTAAGTGTGCAGTTGATGTTCATGCTTTTAGTGTCCTAAAAGAAAACACTTTCCTGTTTTACATTCTCGGGCTTACCTGCCATTACCTGCCATTGTCGCCATGTGGGGGCTCTCGCCTGTAACCTAGACCTAGCTAGCCTCCTGATGCGTGCATGCGTGTGTTCCCTTTTGCTTTATCTAGTCATCTACTGTCTGGGCCGTTATCTTCGCTGGCCTCACTTTGATGTTATAAGTTTGTCGCGTGCATACATGTACAGGTGCTCACACATGTGAGCACAGTTGTCCACAGAGATCAGAAGAGAGTGTCAGCCCTTGGAGTTCCAGGTGACTGGTAGGCTAGCAGCCCATTGTGAGTGCTAGGAACTGAACTGAGATCGTCCGGAAGAGCAACACTTTTACCCTGAGCCTTCCCCCTCCCCTCCCCTCCCTCCCTCCCCTCCCTCCTACCCCTCCCTCCCCTTCCCTCCCTCCTTTGTTGGAGACTGCATCCAGGGCTTCATGTGTGCTAAGTGAGCATTCTGCAGCTTAACTGTACTCCCTACTCACACTCTGATTTTAAATCCCCCCCCCCAACTAAACATGACTTTCAAGAGAAACCCTCTCAGGCTGTGGTTGTAACTCTGTTGGCAGGGTGCTTCCCTAGCGTGCATGACGCCCTGGTGTGTGCTTGCTCCAGCACCACATAAAAACTGGGCATGGTAGCACACACATTCGTCCCAACGGCTCTCCAGAGACAGAGGCAGCAGAGCCCGAACTTCAAGGTTATTTTACAGTGAGTTCAAAGCCAGCTCGACCTAATGAGACCATGACTCAAAAAAAAAAAAAACTAAAAGGAGTCTTAATGTAAGAAATACTATGGAGAATTTTGGTAGTAATCATCTAAAACTTTAAGGTAATTATCCCTGCCTTGTCTTTTCATAGAATGGGGTGACGTGGTTATCAAATAGTCATAGGAAACCAAACTGCTCAGCTTTTTTTTTTTTTTTTTTTTTTTGGTTTTTACAAGTCAGGGTTTCTCTGTATTGTTTTGGAGGCTGTCGGTCCAGCCCGGCCTCAAACTCACAGAGATCCGCCTGCCTCTGCCTCCCGAGTGCTGGGATTAAAGGCGTGCACCACCACCGCCCGGCAAACTGCTCAGCTTTATATATTCTGATCCCTTGTGAGTATCTGAAATACCTTACCGTGCTGTTTGGCTTGCTTGACGGCCCACAGTCCTAGTGAAGTGCTATAGACTGGAACTCTCTCTTCCTGAGAGTGCTCCTGGCACACAGTCTAGTGTCTGTGGGCTTTACTGTCCACCACTGGGTACATCAGATAAGGATGGAGTCATAAAGCATCTGCAGCTCCTTTTCAGTTGACTGTCTTTTGGTAAACGCTTCAGCCAGTCATCCAAACATACTTTTGACACCTCTTTAACTGTGCAAGCTTCCATTTTAAAACCAGACTCTTTTTTTTTAACATTATTTAATGTACACTGGTGTTTTTTGCTTGCATATACTCTGTGTGAGGGTGTCGGATACCGTGGAACTGGAGTTACAGACAGTTGTGAGCTGCCATGTGGGTTCTGGGAATTGAACCCGGGTCCTCTGGAAGAGCAGCCGGTGCTCTTAACCGCTGAGCCGTCTCTCCAGCTCCCTAAACCCAGACTCTTCACTCAGAAGGCCCATGTCAATAGTCAGCCTGATCTAGCTTTATGTTCCTTCCACCATTATCCCACACCCTTAAAACCCATTACTCACTCATCTCCCAGACCTCAGCAAGAATGAATTAGCGACTCATTAACTCTTAGTAGTGTAGCGCACTCCCTCGTGGACCATGCTTTCTGCCTCCTCTCTAGGACCCATCTTAACCTTGAGTCAGGTTGTAGTTCTAGAGGCAGCTGTTGGTGGGCCCAAGGGACATCGGTGTCATCTAACCTGGCATCTCCTCCAGAAAAAAGTCAGTGCTGGCTTAGCAGACACTTGACAGATTTATTTCTTCAGTGAAAAGTACAAAGGGCAGTGAGGACACCACCTCCTCAGGTGAGGTAGAGCCTTGAGAATCTGAGGGCTCAAAGTTCTCAGCTTCATCAGGGCCCTCGTCCCAAGTTACAGGATCCCATTCTGTACTGGCTAAACGCTCTTAAACTTGAACCACTGACACATGTCAGAGGCTGAGACTCGAGTTTTCGCTGCAGTTCAGCCAGCCTTACGATGAGGACCTCAGTTTGGTTTTCTGCACCTTGAGCTCTGTGGCTGCCAGAGAGAAGACTCTCTTCCAGGGCACACTTAGAAATCTTAGAATGTTTATTTGCATCCAGTCAGTTTTGTCACCGAGCCCATTGTGGTCCTGCACTGTATTCTGGAGTTGGTTATTTTTTCTTAGATCTCATTACTATCCTTTAACAATGTATCCAGACATACTAAGAGCAACCAAGCAGCATCCTTAATTTCCCCCAAACTGTCAAAAGTTTCACTGAGTCCATCGGCACTCACTAGTGATGAGTCAAGATAATGAAAGGCATGTGTCTCTCTAAGCCTGAAATGTAGTCTGCACAATGGACTTTCAGTATTCTCCAAGCTTCCAGGAGGGGGGATGACTGAAGAGGTCTCAGTAGCTGCAGGTGCTGACTATTTCACAATCCTGTTCTAGATACTTAAAAGAGCCATCCATTCTCTAGAACCACTCTAGTACCAAAATCTTTATTCAGGGTTTTCTGGTCACAGAACTTACAGGATGAATCTCTCCCTCTCTCTACAAATATATAATGTACACATGCATATATACACATATATGGGAATTTACTGGAATGACTTATAGCCTGCAGTCCAACATTGGCAGATATGAATGGAAAGTCGAGAATCTAGTATCTTCTCAGTGCCCCAAGCCTGTGTGTCTCAGCTGCTCTTCCTTTTGGCTGGAATCACTTAAGAAGCAGGCTGTGCTGCCAGTGAAGGAATAGACGGGCTGACGAGGCGAGGCAGGCAGGCGACGAATGAACCATCTCTTCCTTCCTCCACTGTCCTTATTCACAGGCTTCCAGCAAAAGCTGTGGCCCAGGTTAAAGGTGCGCCTTCCCCCTCAGGGTCTGGATTAAAAGCGTGCTGTCTTCCTGCCTCGAGATCCGGATCACGAGTGTGCCCTCCATTCCTGGACTGTAGTTCACTCCAGACACAGTCGAGCTGACAACCAAAAACAGCCCTCACAAGGCTGCATGTCTAAAACATTAGCTGAGCGTGGTACCGTTTGTGTAATCCCAGTGCTCAGCAGGCTGAGGCAGGAGGATTGCAGGTTCCAGGCCAGCCTGGGCTACATATAGCAAGACCCTGTCTCAATAGAACAACAACAGACAAATAAATGTTAAAGTATACTTTCTTGGTATCAGCAAAATGTCGATAAATTCTTTTGTGTGGTGTGAATAATTTCACCCTAATTAGTCAGAGTAAAAAAATTTTAATGTATTTAAAAGAATATTCATGGTGATTTTTTTTTTACCTAAAAAGCCATACTGAGAAGGAATCCTGATGTTTCTCCTTTCATATAAATGGGTTTTGTAAATAGCTTTACAAAAAAATTGATTTGTTTGTAGAAAGAGAAGTATTTTCCAAAGTATTAATCGCTAACCAATATTAATAAGTAAACATCTAGAAAAAAATGCATACTTGAACACTAGAGCAAATTTATGGTTTAAGATTGTTATTTTTCTCTGGTGACTGTTATATGACTAAGTCACATGTCTTATCTGCAAGTAAGGGTGTGTGTGTGTGTGTGTGTGTGTGTGTGTGTGTGTGTGTGTGATCTTCTCCAGGATCATCCACCTGGCTTTTTCAGATGGACTCTCTCACTTGGACTTAGGGTTTGCAAGCTAGCTGGCCAGTGAGCCCAGGGATCTGCCTGTCGGGGCAGCAAGGCCTGGCTGGGTGCCTGGAACAGAATCCAGGTTCCCATGCTTGCCCAGGAAGCATTTGGCTGACCAAGCCATCTCCCAAGCCCCTGGATTTCTTTTAAAATTGAGACATTACTCCTTAAATACCATATCTGTACGTGGGTGTGTGAAATGAACAGACACTTGCTAGCTCCTCTAATTTATTAAGCCGATATGGAGTAAGTTAAACCCGTGTTGGTTTGTACAGCAGTGCTTAGTGTACAGGACCAGAGCCGGTGCTCGGCCACCCGGCAGGACTTGTTAACCCTGCTAAAACATTTGTCACCGCTGCCTCCCTGTTAAATGTCCCATCTCAGTCTTCACCGGCTGTTTTCTTGTAGATTTCCGGCATGTGCTACGACCGCAAAGTGTTCCAGGTTCACCAGGTGCTTCGTGTCCCTGGCCAGATGGCCCAGTTCTTCTCCTGGGCCCTGGAGCCTGTCTTCTCATCTTCAGAGCCCACCAGCGAGGCCAGAGTTGGCATGGGAGCCACAGTGGACATCCAGAGGCAGCAGAGGACGGAGCAGCTGGACCGGCAGCTAATGCTCTCTCAGTTTGCACAAGTGAGGCTACAGAGGCAGCAGCAGGTACGGCGCGTGCGTGACCGGCCGGAGGTGTGACTGCGCGTGTGGCAGCCTCTGCCTCATTCCCGTGCTTTGCAGCGAGCTTCGGGTGTGTTCGCAGGAGGTTGAGAATGTAGGCCTATCCGGGTGGCTTTCGTTAGTGTCAGGGATTTGTGTTGTCTTGTTTTTAAGGTAACAAAACAAGTTAGAGCTGAACAGTTGGCCAGAATGGACCTTCTTTTTCTTAGCCTTATTTCTGAGAGAAACACCAACCTAGTTACAAGATAGGATATTTATCAGTGTTTGTAATCTTGTCAAAGCCACAACGCCTTCCTGTTTAAAGTGCGAGTCATGTGCCGTGGACGAGGAACAAATGAAAAGCTTCATGATTATCCTTGGTTAAAGTGAATGTGAAGATAAGAAAACTCTTAAGGGAACAACCGATGATTACATCATATGAGTGCTGTGTTTTCACAGATGTGCCGTTAGTAACCAGAAGCCATTGCACAGTCACCTACAAGCACCACGTTGGCCAAAACTCTGACCCAACGCTTGTCTCTCAAGAGGGGCACAAGGAAAGGGGAGGTTGCTCTATGCCTAGCTAACACTTCTGGCATGGTCTTCCTTGGAGACTTCTATGACCCAGCACAGGGTCCATCACTTCCTGCCTCCTCCTCCTCCTCCTTCATCTTCTGGACTGGTGAGAGAGGCAGGATTCTCTCCTGCCTCTCTCTCTCTGTCTCTCCGTCTCTCTCTGTCTCTCTCTGTCTCTGTCTCTCTCTCTGTCTGTCTCTCTGTCTCTCTCTCTGTCTGTCTGTCTCTCTCTGTGTCTCTCTGTCTCTCTCTCTGTCTGTCTCTCTCTGTGTCTCTCTGTCTCTCTCTCTGTCTCTCTCTGTCTCTCTGTCTCTCTCTCTGTCTCTCTCTGTCTCTCTGTCTCTCTGTCTCTCTCTCTCCGTCTCTCTCTGTCTCTCTCTGTCTCTCTCTGTCTGTCTCTCTCTCTCTGTGTCTCTCTGTCTCTCTCTCTGTCTCTCTCTCTCCCTCCCTCCCTCTCCTGCCTTCTTCCCCAGGTGTTAAGGGATCGCGTCTCAGGTCTCAGAGGCCTAGAGAACTGAAGTCTAGTCTGACGTCTTTGAGCTGCCGTTGGGCATGTGGGTTCCAGAGTTTGTATTTTGGATGAGAGTGTACGGTAGAAGAGGGAGAATCCCTGGCTGTTCCTTACAGACCTGTGTGACTGTGAAGTGATTCTGGGGCATATGAGACAGATGTCTGACATACTCAAGGACGGCTGGCACAGGCTTCCATAGAAAACTCAGAGACGGGGCTAGAATCGACCGGTGGACTCGACTCTGTTTACCTGAGAGCAGAGAGCAAGGAGCCGCATGAGAAGGATTCCATCTACAGTCAACACAGGCTGAGGTGGAGCCTTGTGGTTGACAGGGGACAGGGGAGCCACAAGACCCTTGGGGTAGAGAGAAAGGATGGGGCGTGGTGATGGAATTACAGTAGAGAAACTCTAGTTTCCGGGACTTACTCCAGGTCGTCAAAGAACCCAACATCTCAAGGTGCCAGAAGGGTTATTCTGTTCTGAGCACTAGTCCTCCTTTCATGAGGAAACCATTCCTTTTGAATTAGGGCCCACCTGATGACCTTAATTAGCCATTAAAGACCTTACGGTTAAATAGTCATGCTGAGGCCGTAGGTCTTCATCATACAAGAGTCATGGCTCCAGACGGTCGATGCCCAGTGCTGGCACTAAATGGTCATTTTTTTTTCTTGAGGGCGGTGTATCAAGCTCATTGCTGTCTGCTGATGGCAGATTAGATACTCTGTGATGGCAGTAGCTAGATCGTCCTGGATACATGAGGCCCATGTTTAACCTCTATCCCTGTCACCATGGCCACTCTTCCTATGCCAGTACTGAGGTGGGCAATAACAAAGTTGCTGTCATTCTGTCTGCCTCCTGCTTGGTGCCTTTTTTGTCATGGATGTCTGTGGTAGGAATTAATATGGGAAAAACAAACAAACAAACATAAAAACAGAGCGCACACACTTCCCGAGTGTTCCTTTAGCTCCGTTCCCTTTCCTTCCCTTGTGTTTCCTTGGCCCTTACCTTCCAGCGTCCCGGCTGACCGGCCAAGTCTTCTGCTATCCCGGTAAATCTGCAGGCTGGATTGATTACCCACAGGCCACTTCTCTTTATGCTAAGCGGGTAACTGAGGGCGTTAGCGAGCTTATCCCACAGGAGGAGCTCCCTTCTGTCTTTCGGGGAATCCGCCCTGCACAGTGCCAGAGAAGAACCACGAAGGCTTTCAAGACCCTGTCCATGAACCATATCTGACCATCGTCCTCCTCTCTTGTTTGCGGCAAGCAGGTGTGAGCGAGGGAGGGGTTTTGGTGCAGCAGAGGTGGCTGGCATCTGCCCTTGGCCTCCCAGCTGCACCGCACAGAGCAAAGTGTGTTTGCTGTCGGCTTTTTGCCTGCCACGTTCCCATTCACTCTGCGGTTTTCCTGGCATGCGCCTGTCTCTGGAAAGATTTTTCGGTCTCCCGCTGGGGTCCTGAGTTTCTTTGCCTAAAACGTAGCCCAGCTCTCACTAGGGACTGGCTTACCTATCCCTGCCAGTGTGACAGGGTGCAGAGAGGAGCTTGTCCGCTTCTCCAGAACAGGGACGATGCCAGCACTAGTAGGAACTTAGCAACTATTTGAGGAAGTGACGAGTAAATGTGTGTGTTGTAAACATTGACGGTTCGCCTCGAATCCTGACGCCAACTGGATACAGCCGAGCAGTCGGGGTTGAAATCAGAACGCACAGATGTCCTGCAAGGATGAGCTGAAAAAACAGGTCATGACAGACAGACCGAGCCCTCGCTGAGGTTCACAGAGAAAAGGAACTGGAGCAGCCAGGAAGAAAGCAGGAAGTTCAGGAACAGGGTAGCCAGGAGAGGAACTGTTGCAGGGGGAGCAGGTGCTTCCTCTGGCGGGACGCCGGGACACGTTACATGAGCTGGGCCTCGGTGCCAGGGAGCCCGTGCTCACATCTACCTCAGTGACGTCATGTTCCTGCAAGCACTGCTCATCAGCGGTGCGGCTCTTGCAGATTCTGCAGTCTGGAGAGCAGTGACCCCGGTGATGTCCCTGTGGGACCTCCCTCATCTGGAATTGGGCACCATTGTGTGGACGGAGTCAGTACACAGGGAACCTTACATTCATGAACCCCAGGCGTGTGGTAATGGCGCAGGTGTCCTTTGACCCCTGTGGGTCTCTCTGGACACTTCTTCACGTAGTTCTGACACTGGTCGCGTGGGCTAGTTGAGATGAAAACTGGCCTTGCTGCGTCAGGTAGCTGATGTCTGTGGTGTGTGTCCTGCACCATCCGGGACAGCGCTGAGGGCAGCAGGCCGGGCACAGGGACGCTGTTCTCCCCGCCTCTTACATTGCCCTTGTGTCTCTGTTGCTGGCCCCAGTCGGTCACGGTCACTTCGCTGTGGCATCAGGCTTGCTTGTTGCTGCCAGGGCCAGTGTTTAACTTTTCTTTTCTGTTTTTTTTTTTTTTAATGGGGAGTTTTGCTGGTTTTTGTTCTGTATTTTTTTTTTTTTTTTTTTGAGACGGGGTCTCACTAAGTAACTCTGGCTAGCCTGGAACTCACTACATGCATAGCGCATGCTGGCCACAGACTCATGGAAATCCGGCCACCTCTAACTCTCCAGCGCCGAGGTGGAAGCCTTGCGTCACCATGGCAGCCATAGGCTCATGTATCAGTCCCCACTAGGGCATGGGCTTTACTCATCTGTGCCCTTTTGGACTCACGTGCGGTGCCCTGCCCCACTGGTGTGCAGGAACCGCCCGACTCTCCTCCCGGAGTTTGCAGCTGCTGAAGATGAAGGCAGCGGTAGGGGCCAGGTTCCCGATTGACCAGAGCAGCCCTGAGGCGCAGCTGGCTGCCCCGCACAGTCTGGCGTGCCCGAGAGAATCGGGAAGAAGTCATCATTTGGGGTTGCCAGGGCTCCAGGAGAAAAAGACGAGGGTCCCCAAACGGCAGTGGAAACAGCAGGGCGTTTCATCTGCTTAAAAACCGAGAATGCTGCAAGGAGGGGACAGTGACAGGTAAGGTGTGGCCAGCCACGCCTGTGATGCCAGCAGCACTCCAGAGGCAGACATGGGACGGTCACAAGCCAGAGGCTGCCCTGGGCCGTGAAGGGAACAGCCTGTTCAAACAAGGGGAGGAAGGGAGGATAAAACAGCACAGTGTGTAGTGAGCTCGGCGTTCATTGTGTGTTAGTGAGATAACTACTATAGTGAGTTCAGTGTGCACCGTGCATTAGTGACTGCTGTAGTGAACTCGGCGTTCATTGTGTGTTATGAGATGACTACTGAGCTCGGTGTCCACCATGCATTAGTGATACGACTGCTGAGCCTCTTCCGCAGATCCGCATGCACAGGGGTCCTGAAAGACGGCAGTGGAGAGGCCCTTACCCTCCCGCACGCTGTGCTGTGCGTCTCTCCCACCTGACTGTCCATCTGAGTTTTTCGTAACAAATGGGTAACTGTCAGCGTCTCTTCTGCGTCCCCCGAGGCAGCTCAGCAGATTCGCTGACCTAGAGGGAGGGAGTTGCGGGGCCTGATTGAGGTACAGGTACAACACAGGCTCTGGTGTGGCGTCATCTCGGGTTGGGGCAGCGTGGTGTGGCTGAAGGTGTTGCTTTCGGGTTCCGTGCACCACATTAGAATTAAGTTTGGAGGCTGCGAGTGGTGTCTCCTGGAGAATGGCTTCGGGTGTGAGGAAGCCCCTCCCCCTCCCCCATGCATCTGGCATTGGAAGTGTTGTGTTGACTGGTGTATGAACACGTTAAGGCCAAACAGTTTGCGGTTTTCCCTAGTAACCCATATGCTCACAGTATGAAAAATAACCATAAAATGAAAAGAAAATTAGCACTTAGGGAGACAGCGCTGTGTAGACAGGGTAATCCGCACACGGTCTACTGGTTGTCATGGGGATCGAGGACAGCCTTCAGTGTGTCAGGAGATCTCAGAGCTTTAATCACTGTCATCGAGTGGGCATACATTTTGTGCCTCCCAGGAAGTCTGGGACATAGTGTAGACTTGGGAGCTAGCCTGTTACTCCTAAAGCTGCAGCTTCCAGGACAAAACTGAGCATGGTATCACCTGTGGGCAGCTCAGAGCGGAATGATCTCACAGCCCCACATCATGGCCTCCGTCTGCCTCTTGCTTCTTAGAGCCCTCAGTGCTGACCGCACGGCCTCCCCCCTCCCCCCCCCGAAGTGTGTGGTGCCTGCCCCAGAGGCTTGTAGCCAGCACCTTTGAGCTCGAGTCTTCATGGAAACCCTGAATTTCCTGAGCTTTGCCTACACCCTTGTTCTGTTTACTGGTGATGCCGTGTAGCACAGCACACGCTTGAGGGTGAGCCTAACCCTAAGGTGTTCCTGAGGGGCAGGGTTAAGGCGAAGCCCGCCGTGAGTGCACAGTGCTCGGTTGTGAGCCTGCTGGGAAACTCGCCAGCACACAGTAGGGTTGCCAGTGTTTACCCCGCTGCATGCATTGGGCTGCCCGGTGCCTCCGCCTGTTTTGGTAGTAAGTCGTCCATGTTCATGCCAGGACCGGTGTTCATGCTCCCTCGAGCACCTAACCGCCGTTCACACATGCAGTGCAGCGAGCTCCTCGGTGCCGGGTTGAGCGCGTTCATTCTCTCACCCACCCCGAGTAAACTTCTGTGGCTGTGAAAATTGTTTCCCTCCTCATCCACCCTCAGTAAGCGTTGTCGGGTGCCGCCCGACCTGCCCCATGACTCATACCCCCGCCGTGCACAGCGTGAAAGTCCTCTCATTAATCAGATATCTCTCATTTAATGAATATTTCTGGAGCAGTTCACCCACTTGAGTTGTGCAAGCCACTAATCTTTATCTGCAGAATTATGCAGCGTTACCACAGTCAGTGGTAGAACATTGTCAGCATCCAGGTAGAAATTCTGTGTCCAGAGCAGAGGATGCCAGTGACATGAGAGCAGAGGAGTGCAGTAGCTGTGGGGAGGAAGCAGGCCAGAAAGAGGGGTAGGCAACGAAGAGCAAAGCAGTGTGTGTGCGTGCGTGTGTGTGTGCGCGTGTGTATGTGTCTGTGTGTATGTCTGTGTGTGTGCGTGTGCACGCGCACGCACGAGTGTGTGTGTGTGCACCTGCATGTGTGTGTCTGTGTGTGTATGTGTGTGTGTGTGTGTACGGGCACGCACACAGAAATCCATATGAAACTCCCCAAACCTGCTTGTCTTCCAAGCTCACTTTCTGTCTACAGATTTGCCCCTTAAGGGCGTCTGTGAATGGAGCCTACTCTAGCTGACGTCTGCCTTCTGTGACTCGGCGTCACATTTTTAGGGTTCCCGTGTATTGCAGCACATGCATGACTTTCCCGTGTTTTAGAGAGCAAGGCCCACGGGGTCCAGCTGTGTGCTGGCAGGTGCCACCCCCCTCCCTTTGTCCGTGCCCCCCCCCCCCCCCGTCACTTGGCTAGCTTTGATTTAGAGGAAGCTTCTGTCAACCTCTCGGCCTCTGCAGCCCAGCTGTTTCCATTAGCATCTTTTCCACAGAATGTGCAGAGCCAGTTTCCGGGGAGCCGTGAACAAGGCGCTGCCCTGACCTCCGTGTGACAGGAGAAAGAGACAGTCGCCACCAAGCGTCGTGATGGCTCTCCTAGGAAAAGTGCCGTCATCGGGCAGGACATCTCAGGACACCCCTGAGGCCCCGAGGGAGCAGGCCACACGGGCCTGAGTTCACGTGATGCCAGGCTGGCTGGCACACGCTCACCTCCGCCCTTGGCTGTGCGCTTTCACTTTTGACGTGACTTGATTTGAGAACACTTCTCATCAAATTACAGTGCTTCTTTGTCAACAAAGTCTAACCGGCCAGGGCCGGTTCCCTTATGACTCTTCTCCCATGAGTGTGTGATTGTGTAGTGTCAGATGTGGGATAAGTCACTAGAGCTTAGTTGATAAAAATCTGCAATGAAGTCAAAAAGAGATGCACGTATTCTGTTCTCATTGAGGCTGAAGCCCAAAGCTGCTGATCTCGATCTGCACCTCCCGCGCAGATGACTGCCGGGTCCTCATGCTTGGCCACGGCTCCCGCTGGCCCTTCTGAGGAAATTCAGCCCAGAAAGATAGGATCAGTCTAATTCTAGCACTTTCCAAGCCTGACTCATTAAGTGACAGTCGTGAAAATCATTTCAATTTTCCATTCTGTTCTGGTGCCTTCGTGAGAAAGAAGAGCATTGTACGGTCTCATGGTGTTTGGGAGGATAGGCACGTGACGATAATTCTCTTTGAAGGCACAAAAGTTGTAAACAACTCTTAATTCTCTGTTGGATCATCCTTCCTCGGCTCACCCTCTGACACCCCGAGCAAGTGTGGAGACGGAACACGAAAGCATCACGTTGCACGTGGGGAGACTCACGTGACCACCCCTTCTCTTCAGGCAAGAGGCCATCTCATTGGTTTCAGAGGCATAAATGTACTGTATTCTGTAATTCCTTCATCTTGAGAAGCCTGGGGTTTCATGGAGTCTCCCCCCTCACGCCCAGCATTCACAGCCCTCAGCTTGGGTCAGAAGCCCAGAATCTCCAGAGCTGTGAGCCATGCCCTCTGTGCAGAGATTATAACACGGTTTGGCCAACCAAGATTTGCTGAGATCTTCCCGATGAAGTGATGGAGCCGTATGCGTGTGTGTGTTGGGCTTTCCCAGATTATGCGCCCCTGCCCTGTTGTCCAGCGCATCCCTTAAATGAGAGGGACACTGTCCACCACTCCCGTCTCCACCTGCCTTCCTGGGGTGGCTCCGACTCCAGAAGGATGATCGCCAAGGGGTTTGCGTCTTCCCTGCGGATCCCTCATGGGTTCAGTCGTGCTAGCAAGAGCTCAGGAGAGTGGGAGACAGAGGGGACACGTCCGTTGTGTGCCCAGGAGCTCTGTCCACAGTCACCCCGCAGCTGCATGAAGCCCCTGCCCCGCAGTGAAGGCTCTTTCCGGAAGAAAGCGGCTCAGCTTCCAAGCTGCTCATTAGTGTCCAGGGAAGAAGAGGCACTCGGTCAGCTTAAGAGCCGTCTGGTTCAGCTTGCCACTGTACACATGTGGAAACCCAACTCCAGGCTTTATTCTGTGTGGAGCTGGTACCCTAGAGCCTGGCCAGAGAGGGAGAGGAAGGAGAACTTTAGTGAATGAAGCTGATACGGACATGAAAGAAGAATCGGGTCTGCACAGAAAAGAGGGGAAGCCCCCAAGAAATAGGGGTGCACAGTCCAAGGGGTCAGGCCATCTGAGTAAACAACCAGACTGCATGAAGAAAGGATATCCTAAGTGAGAAAAGTTCTGAGAAGAGGCAAGAAGTACTTCATGACGCCATTAAAATAGGGCGGAGGCTTCAGACATCGTGCTGAGTGCAGGGTCTCCCACGGCGGTGCGCAGATTGGGTGGGAGAAAGTGTGAATAGCAGCCGTGTCATCGAGAAGCCACCAGTATAATCTCAGAATGGGACAACAAGGACGTGGGTCGTGGCTGACCCCCACAAGGGAGAGTAGACCATCCTCGCCCGTTTGGGGATTTGAGGTGCAGAGCAGAGCAAGTCTCGGGGAGCTTGGGTTGCAGGAGAGCTTGGCTGCCATCAGAGTGGAGAGCTCACACACACACACACACACACACACACACACACACACACACACACACACATACACAGACACCGTCAAAGCGAGGTCAGCAGTGAGAACCGCCTGCTGAAGACATGAAAACAGATGGCATCATCTCAGGGAGCACATGTAACAAGAAGAGGGAAATCTTGAGTCATTCTCTCTAGGTTTTGACAAAGTGCCACCTCTTGTTCTGTCAAAACATGTGCCAGTTACAAGTACCAGAGGTAATTCTAGTTTTGTCTTAACATTTGATAATTTTTGTGCAGCACTAAAGTTAGGCAGGAAAAAAAAATGACCCAAACCTCGACAGAGGAAGGAACAAAACAAGAAGAAGGAGTTGCTGTGCAGAAGTAGGCTTTGCCCATGCTCAGCCACATGCTTCCATTCCTGTTGTTTCTGGAGAGCACTCGGGAGCCCCTACCGCGTGTGCCCTACACTTGCGTGTGGTGTTCATGAGCACTGAAGTCAACTCAGTCAAGAGGGTAAAGATGCCCTCAGTCCAGGAAGCAGTGTAATCTGCCTGCACAAGAAGGACTGTGAAACCCCCTATACACACACACACACACACACCATACACAATCAAACTGCACACGTGCACACTCACACCACATGTACACACCACACTCACACCACATGCACACAACACACACAATCACACCGCACGCGCACACACACACACAGTCCCACCGCACATAATACACTCACACCACATACACACACCACACACACACACCACATACACACAACATACACACAATCACACCACATACAATCACGCCGCAAGTGCACACACTCACACCACATACACATACACACACCACACACAGTCACACCGCACGCAATACACTCACACCGCACACACAGCACTGCACTGCCTCCATGGTGACCAAAACAAACAAGTGAGAAAGCAAATTTTCTGTGTGACGTGGTCTGCGGATACCCAGTAGCATCTTCACAACCCCCCCTAAAAGAGAGGCCAGCACTCGCAGGATCCCACAAACAAGTGTCCCAAGCCTGTGGCCCAGGGACCTAGGAAGCTGAAACTGAATTCTACTCTTCTTCCAGAGTCCCCCAGGGCTCCCCACATGGGATTTACCAGGTCTCCTGCTTAATGAATCAAAGATACCATGTCTATGGTGGAGTTTGCAGCTGATGGCGATGCTTTCATGATCCATTGTTAGCCCAGTGTGAGAGTGGTTCCGTGTCCTCAGGAGAGAGCTCCACGATGGGTGTCTCCATTCTCTCAGGAGAAGTGTCCTCAGTGACACTAAACAGACCTGGAGCATCTGTCCGCAGGCTGGGCGCTGGTTCAAGACTCCTTTGCTGAGCCCCTGTGCCATAGCTTGCCCATACCACTGTACCCGTCCTCGGTGCCCCCCCCATCCTCCAGTTCAGCCTCCACAAACACTGCTGTGGCCCCAGTTCAGCCAACCCAAGGACACAGGGCAAGAGAGGACAGGGAGATGGGACCGAGGACGGCACCGTGGCCAGAGCTGCAGGCCCCTGCGCCAGAGGCTCCAGGCCTGAGCAGGATGTGGAGTTCCTGTCCAACCACCGTGGGACTCGCTGGGAAGGAGACCAGGGCAACCTGAAGGCTCTCAGCCCAAAATGGGTCAGCAAGATGCGCCATTCGCAGACGGAAACGGAGAGCCATCACGGTAGCGTGGGGCTCTGGGTCAGTGGCCGTCCGTCCATTTCCTCCCAGGCCGCCTGTGGAGCAGACACAAAGACAGAGAGGTCCGTGCTGAGTGCATGGGAAGAGGCGGGCAGCCTAAGCACAGCCTCCTGAGGTTTCTCTGAGCCTTCATGTCTTCAAGCCACTGACAATGAGCTGGGTTTTTGTTTTGTTTTTCAGATGCAGGTTTATTCTGTGCCTTGTGTTACCCCCCCCCTCCACTTCTTACCCAGATAAAGGATGCGTTGCTACCCTGTATGTGTGGTGATGGAGGTAGAATTCCTCTTTTTTTCTCCCCCAACTCCTGCCAGGAAGCTCTTGCCGAGCAGCGGCCTCGCACGGTATTTCCCTCCTCTAAACTGGCAACTTACCCTCAGTTCTCAGCCGGGTGGGCCACCTTCCACCGCCCTGGTACGGCCTGCTCAGTTGCTGATGCGCATCTGTCGGCCCGGCTGAGGTCTTTTGGGCCTTAGGAAACAGCTGGGATCTGTCACCAGTCACCCGGCCCCTCCCAGGACAGACAGCACGCCTGCACGCTAATAGATGGACGACACTGAGCTTGTGTGTGCTTACTCAGCAAGCTGCAGTTCCCCCTGGAGCTGCGAGAACCATGCGGAGAACCATAGTTAGCCCCGTGACCCGAGGAGCGGCCCTATGGACTCCCTTCACCTCCACACCCTCCCTGTGTGAGAGGGGATGGGTTCCTCTGTCCTTGAGGCCTGTTTCAGCCTGTTTGGTGATCCCCCCGGCCCCCGCGCTCCGGCCCCCCACCCCACAGCTCATTAGCCCGCCACCCAGTTTAACGGGTCAGGTAAGGCTGGCCCCGTGTCTCTGCTAAGAAAGCCCCATGTAATGTGGCTCAGTGGTGCCCTTTGCTGCGCGTTTCTCCATTCACCCGTCCGCACAGTGGGCATTTCCCCCGGTGTGTATGAAACTGTGCCGGGCCTGCACAGAACAGGATGGAGTCTCAGCCCTGGTGGAGCTTAGAGCCCGGGTGAGCTTCAGGCCGGCCAGCGTGCAGCTGGACCGTGCAGAGAGCTGACAGCACAGCGGGATGGCTGACCCCGCTCACGGGGAGTGGTCACGGGCTCCCCAGTGGGGGCAGAGATGGCGAGGGCAGGACGGTAAAGAAGCAGCAGCCCGGGAAGCATTCCCACTGTCGTGAGAGCACTGGGGCCCCGCGGGAGTGTCAGAGTGTGGTCTCTGCGGTATCTGGAAGGACTTTGTACGTGCTGCCCTCTAATTTCTACTCATCTTCGTTGCTTCAAATAAAACGAACTGGGGTAGAATCGATGCACAGGCAGATACAAGTGTGCCGCTGCCTTCATTCCACTCAGCCAAATACCAAGAGGTCTGTGGCAGGAAACAGCGCCACTGTTCTCGTTCATGCTTTTCCTCATCTGGGAAATACAGTTATTCTCTCTCTCTTATTTAACGTTAGCAACTGGGGCATGTGGGACGGCTCAGCAGGTACAGGCCCTTGCCACTCAGCCTGGTGACCTGAACTCAGCTCTCTGCAACCCCCACGGCAGAAGAAGAAAACCTCGTCCCGTATGTTCTCTGACCTCCGCGTTCATGCCGTGGTGCGTGCGTGCGCACGCACGTGAACACACAAATAACATGGAGAAAAACCTTTAAGACGTTAGGGACTAGTGTAAAACGTTAGGGATTAATGCGTGTTGTCCATCAGTGAGTGTTTTTAAAAGGGGGGATTGAAGGGCTTTTAAATGGAGGAAGGACGCGGTAAAACTTGTGTCTCTGCCCTGCCCTGGAAAGTGGTCTGACACGGAGCAGTACGGTACCAGAATAGCCTAGAGAGCTGCTTACGCGGTGGGCGGGCAGATGTGGACACCACTGTCCGCCTGGGGTGTGGGATGCAAACGGAAATGAAGATAGGTTTGGGACGCGCTTAGGTGGAGGTGGCTTCCAGGACACCTGGCTCTGTAGTTGTGCGGCCCAGAGTCCTCACCACAGACTTGGTGTCCAAAGCCCTGTAAGTAGGTGAGAGCTGGCCAACAGAACTCGGAAAAAGAAGCCTCTGAAACACAGCCTTAGGGGGACCCTGCTTGAAGGACATGAGGTTGTGGAGCACACGAAGGCATGGCCATGGGGCTGGAAAGAGAAGTCTGGTGTCGCAGAGCCCAGAGAGAAGGCTGAGTTGGGTAGGGGCCGGTGGGTCCCAGCGTGGCCGGAGGTCGGACGGGACACAACGGGGAGGTTCCACTGGGAAAGGAAGATGCACTTGGTGTTTGCAGACCAGGTTTCATTTGAACTTTTACCAGGCATGAGCATCGTCTTAACCCTCCGTCTAGCTCCACTGCATAAGGTATTAGCAGGTACACGGTAAGCACTAAGCACTAGATAATTCTGTATACTCTGTGTGTGTGTGTGTGTGTCTGTCTGTCTGTCTGTCTGTCTGTCTGTCTCTGTCTCTGTCTCTCTCTCTCTCTCTCTCTCTCTCTCTCTCTCTCTCTCTCTCTCTCTCTCTCTCTCTCTCGTCTGTGTGTGTGTCTCTATGGCACCAGGAGAGGGGATCTGATCCCCTGGAGTGAGAGTTACAGGTGGTACTGAGCTGCCTGATGTGGGTGCTCAGGGCCAAATTGCAGACCACAGAAAGAATGAAGAGTGTGACCTCTTAGCTTCTGAGCCTCTCTCCAGCCCTTCATGTCACATTTTGGTGCTAACCTCTTGACCTTTCTAGCGGTCTTCAAGCATAGTGCAGGTAGCACAGTGTGAGCGCTATATTTCACTCCTGGCCGATTGATAACGAGCGTCCCAAACAGCACAAACTGAGGATGACAGGTGTAGCCTTCCCCCAGAAGGGGGAAGACATCCCATGTATAATATTACATTTTTACTCCCCAGGACAATCTTTCAGAGCACCCACTTGGCTAAGGAAGCAGCTCTAGCTGCACGGCGTGACCCTGGGCACGCCAGCAGGGAAGAGGGGGTGTGCAGAGACATCCGCCTGTCAAGACCCTCCAGGGTCCACGGCAGACTGCAGAGAGGCAGTGCTCTACTGTGATCCCCGTGTGAGAGGGAGAAGCTCTGCGCTGTCTTCAGGCTGTCTTAAGTGCCTACCCGTAGAGCGCTGTCATCACACCTGCAGACCCCTGTGAGCCCGAGGTGTCGTTCCCATTGTACAGCGGAGGAGACTGATGGCCAGGGTCCCACGGGCAGAGGCCGAGCTGGGGTCTGAGCTCTGGAGACTGCTCTGGACTTGTGCCCGCCCTGTCTCTGCACACCTGTGCCCTTCCCCACCGCCAAACTGTCCCTCCCTTTGGCTCAGCCCCAGCACTGCACCTCTGAGCTTCATCTGTGCTCTGGCCACATTTGGTCGAGGTCCACCCCCTGTGGCTGTGCCTCACGGCTTCCCTCATAAATGCCAGAAGTCATCGCGTTTGGTTTTTTTCTGTGTCTGGGTATTTTGTCTTCCTGCGGAGGACGATCAGCCCCATGAATCCCAGGATGGGACCGCGTGCCTGGCTCGTGAAGCCACGTGTGCCCTGGCCACAGTGTGCTTGCTTTTCTGGTCTAGCTGCCTCGTCCAGAGCAGGTCACTGTCTGGCGAGCACGGACGCCTGCTCACACAGCTTCTGCTTAGGACTCTAGAAGCAGTCCCTGTCGCTCAGCTCAGGAAAGAAACATGTTCGTTTTCACAAGAAACTTCTTTAAAAATCACTCGACAATTAATAACTAGTATTTTATAAAACATCTCTTCGAGAGGCAGACTCTTTGCTTCCACTTTTGTGAAGCGTGTGGCTGATGCTTTTGAAAAAGGCGACGTAAAGGAAGTGTTTCCTGTTTGTAGAGGCGCCTGTTTAACCCTGGGTGCAAAGCGCCTGACAGCTGAGAGCTCCTGGAGCCTCCTCCCTAAGTTCCTCTCCGTATTACGGGACGAGGGGCAAGGTGGAGTCGGGTCTCTGTCGTTGTCATATCGCAGAACGTTCTCCTGAGGACCTTCTCAGCCCTCACTACCACCCAGAGGTGGAGCTGGCGGATGATGGCCTGGGAAAGACATCCCAGATCCTGAGGCAGCTCCCCAATGTGTACAGCCATGAGCAACCTGTAGAGTTCACGTTCGCTTCAGTCATCCTCACTAGCGGTGTGACACACCTTAACTGTTTTCATTGCCCCAAGAGCAGGTATTTGTTGACTTAAGGCTTCCTCTACTGTAAATATTTATTCATATATGCTCTCTACTTATCTCTTGTCATTTGGGTTTTTTCTCATTAGTTTTTTATATATGCGAATGTTCTTGTCTGTTATATCTTGTGAACATTTTATTGTTTTATTTTATTTTAGTTTTTCAAGACAGGGTTTCTCTGTCTAATCTTTACTGCCCTGGAACTCACTCTATAGACCAAGCTGGCCTCGAACTCACAGAGATCTGTCTGTCTTTGCCTCCCGAGTGCTGGGATTAAAGATGTGCACCACCACCACCCAGCTGATTTTCTTTTAAAGTGTAGTTTGTCTTTTAACTCTGTTTTGTTTTAGTCAACAACAACAACAACTGAGCTTTGAGTATAAGTCCTTGCTGGTAATGTAAAAATAATTTTTAGCCATCTTTTTCATAGTTTTGTTTGAGAAATCTTTTTTCTTGTCACAATGACATGAAAGAATCCTCTTCTAAAAGTTCCAACTGTCTAGCTTCCCATGTTCTAGTCATTGATGTGTGGAACGTACTTTTCGTACCATCTGAGGCAGAAGTCTAACCTTAACTTTCATATCTTTGGCCGTCGTCCAGTCCTGTCTGTTAAACATCTGGCCGCCTCTGATTTCTGGACCTTTCTGTTTGGCTGGCCGGCTCCCTGACGGACTGCATCCAGCTCTGCTCTGGCTCTCCGTGTCTACTTGTTTCTGGTGTCCTGGGATTTCCGTTTCCTCCTACTAGTCAGCCGATGTTAAGTGTTTTAGGTCTCCATAAGGAGAAAGATCTTTCAGACTTTCACAGTCCAGAAATAGACATTTTTAAATTAGTTAAATTCCGAGATCCGCACACAGCTGAAAACAGGGATTTTAGATAGCATCATTCTGTGCATATTTTCTTCGGATGTGAAGCCAGAAGTGGCTTTATCGTCTACCTTTGGCATCCACAGAGCCATCGATCCTAACCTGTGAACCCTTTGCTCTCTGCTGTCTCCAGCTTGTTGTTGGATGTAGGCTTCATTACAACCTGCGGCTTCCCCCCTTCCCCCCACCGAGGTGCTCGGGACTAAATCCATAGAAGATGGGGAGAAGCAGCGTCCTCCATGGCTGTTGGAGGAACCTTGGTTTTCTTCTTGCTTCCTCTTCCTGCAAACCCTTGAGCTCCCAAACTGTGGCCGTAGCCACTCTTGGGACAGGGCCAGGGAGGCTGATGTTGGATCTAATGTGGCCAGGTGCACAGGACACGTCTCTCCTCTGTACCTACAGCAGGGCCGGTTTTATCCTCTTGGTCGAGGGTGTTGGGGAATTTGGGGTTTGCCTCACAGGACAGCAGAGCAGCTCAGCGTTTTGTTTCCCTGCTGGAGCCATGCGCCTGTGGGGAGGCTCCGCGAGGCGTGGCACCTGCTGTTCCTCTCCTGATGACCCTCCGTTGCTCTTTTTAGGGAGGAATGATCAATTGGAATCGGCTTTTTCCCCCTCTACGTCAGCGGCGAAATATCAACTATCAAGACGGTGCTCGGTCTGAAGAGCGAGCGTCACCTCCCTTGGACGTTTCTGAGGAGCAGGTAACCCGTGACTCCTGTACTCGGTCTCATTCACACTGCAGGCTTGAAGCAGCTTGGGCCAACAGGAAATCAAAGCTTGGTTTGGGGGCTGTAGAGACAGTAGGTAAAGTGCCTGTCTAATGAGCCCAGAGTACTAAAATGACAACTCTAGTAATCTCTGCCCTGGGAAGGCAGAAATAGGAAGACCAGGGGCTTGCTTAGGCAATCCAGACGAGCCTAATCAGCAAGACTCAGATCTCAGAAGGAGGTGCTCTTGCCTCAGAAACCAAGGTGGGCAGCAGCTGAGGAAGGGTTCCCACGGTTGACCTCTGCAGGGATATACGTCCGTGCACGCACACACCCTTAGGCCAGTGTGGTCATACACACCTGTAATCATGGTACACAGGAGGCTAAGGCAAAAGGATCTTGAATTCCAGAACAGCTTGGGTCACACAACAAAACCTTGTCACCAAAACAGAATAAGAAGAAATGGATGACGTTGAATCCTTACAGAGGGTTGGGAGAGAGTAGCACCTTTGTGTGGTTTTGACTTTTGTGATTTTAAACCGTGTTAATGGTTTACATGTTCAAGAAGTAAATAATCAAAAATGGGAACTATCGTAGAATTGAAAAGAAACGGGACCCAGCTGTATCCCAGTGAATTACAATCTAATGTTGAAGGGGGGAGGTTAATTTTAGTAACTTTTGAACAAAACATACCCTGAGACAGTATTAAAACTTCACACAAATCTTAAACTTGTTCATAGGTTGTTTCTCATAGTGGTTCAAGAATGGGGATTCTCCCGCTAGGGTTGGAATGGAGTCAGCAGTGTGCACACAGCATCAGCATGGTTGTCTTCCTGCGTACATGCAGATGAATGTGTGTGTGTGTGTGTGTGTGTGTGTGTGTGTGTACATGTGTGCCCTTGCACTTGATGAAAGGGCTCAGAAGCATGATGTCCTGGCAGTGACAAGCACACCTACTGCTCCAGTGTTCCCACTGAAGTAAGCTGGGACATCTTTTAGAGACCTGGTAGACCCCTCCCCATGCAGGGTGGAGATGAGATAACCCTGGAACACCCGTGCCCACTAGTAAGGCAGTGCGCCGTGGCTGATGGCGTCTCACAGGGAGTCCAGAGGCAGCGGAGAGGATCCCACTGGCCACACTGGTGACATCAGCTTCTCGTACCCACGTAAGAATAGTCACACAGCGTGAGCCACCAGGAACAGGGCCCCTGGGTTCACCCCGACTGCTGCTTTCTGTTGCTGTGATAAAAGCCCTGGCCAAGACACCTTCCAGAAGAGAGAATTTATTTGTGCCCATGCGTCCAGAGCGATGAGTCTAAGTTTGTCAGAGAGGAGGGCAGGGCGGCGGGAGCAGGAAGCTGAGCCACAAGCAGGACAGCAAGCTGACTGGAAACGGAGTGAGGCCTAATGTCCAATCTGCCCTCAGCCACGCCCTTCCTCCAGCAAAGCCCCACCACCTAAGCCTCCCCAAACAGCATCACTAAGTGGGAACCAAGGTGTTCAAATGCCTGAGAGTGAGAGGTGTTTCTCATCCCGATTAATAGATGCTGATTAATAGACGCGTGTCACAGAAATGCATAGGTAAAAGGAAGCACACTTCTATAAAGGAGAAAGGATGGTGCCTTCCTAAAAACACAACACAGTTTTGCAGCCACCACAGTAGACATTAGTTTAACGAAGAAGGTATCAACCAATCTGTGGAGAACTGGGCACTTTCTACGTGCTCACAGCTTCATACGACCTGGGAGACCTCTGTAAAGTACCCAACCTGCGTTCTTCAAGAATAGTGATGCCACAGCCCGCTCAGGGGAGAAACAGGAGATGAGGCCTGTGACCTGGGCTGGGCGTTGTGGAAGGGCCGTGCCTGTTAATCGGTTGGCAGAGGAAGTGGACTCCAGGCTGGATGAGAGCATCCGCATCAGATGCCAGCATTTCAAGCTCCCCGACAGCAGCTGGGAACCAGACTCTGGCTCAGGAGGTGATGAAGCCGCTTGACAGAACTACAGCTGCTGACTCTGGGGTCCTTGGGATCTTCTGAAGGCTCACGTCTGAAATTATTTCAGATGAAATAAAGTCCAAAACGCTGCAGTGATAACACTTGAAATTTCCCACTGCCTGGGAAAGGCGGGTTTCCACAGCTGGCTACACTAACTAGGCCATTTGTCCTCAGCCTCTGCTACAAAACTGTCCTTCCATACGCTGTACCTCAGAAGAGTCATGAGTGGGCTCCTCCTGCATCCCTGCCTGGGGCCTGGGTCAGGGCTTTTGCCAGAAGCTTGTCCGTGTGCCTGGCGACTTCCACTAACAACTGGTCAGTCAGCCCCTTTGCCCGGCAACTTCTTCCCACAGGCTTATATTTCACTAACTTTTTAGTTTTGGGCAGCAGAGGACCAGATGTACGACCAGAGTTCCTTTTTATTTGCTTATTTTATTTTTAGACAGGGCCTCACTTTGAAGCCCAGGCTGGTCTCAATTCACAATCCTGCTGCCTTTGCCTTCCAGTGCCACGGTTAGAGGCGTGCAACACGTCTGACAAGTTCACCTGCCCTTCTTTAAAATTACTCTCTGGGCCGTGGTGGCGCACACCTTTGATCCCGGCACTCGGGAGAGAGAGAGGCAGGTAGATCTCTGAGTTTGAGACCAGCCTGGTCTACAGAGCGAGTTCCAGGACAGCCAGAGCTACACAGAGAAACCCTGTCTCGGGAAATTAATTAATTAATTAATTAAATTCCTAGGCAGATATCATCCCAGAGATGAGGAAGAAAGGTCTCAGTAATTTGCCATTTATGAGACTATTGTGATGACAGATTAGAAAGTAAGATAACAGTCATCTATCTTGGTGAAAACAAACACCAGAATTCTGCTATGTGACTGTTCACCTTATACAGCAGTGAGTCATATTCTTCACAGGGCAGTCTTCGGACATCTGAAGTATTTACAACTGAACTATTGCTTGGTTTTGGCAGTTTGGGCAGAAGTAAAAGATGTCAAAAGGAGGAGGAGGAGAATGTGAAAATGTGTCATTGGTCTGTAGGGTTTTCCCCCCAGTGAGTAATTTTTCCTTGATCCTCCCAGAATGACAGTGCCGAGGATAGCGTGTTGTCGGTGTCACCGTGAAGGAGCTCACAGGTGTCCTGAGATGATACACACTCCTCCCCAGCTCTTCCCTTTCTCACTGGCCTCCTGAATCTTGTGTTTTGACGTTGCTGATGAGGTGCGGTCCATCAAGAGTTCTCACAGCCCATAACTGTAATGCACACTCTGGGCGTGTTACTCCAGAAGAGTCAAAAGGTGTTCTTGGTTGGTGTGATGGTGCATACCTTTAATCCCAGCGCTGGTGGATCTCCATGAGTTTGAACCCAGCAGGATCTACACAGCAGGTTCCAGGCTAGCCAGAGCTGCCCAGTGAGACCCTGTCTTAGGAAAAAAAAAGACTTCTAGAGGCTCACAGGCAAGTTCAGGGAGTTGTAATTGATGTATGATCTCAATTAGCTTGTTAATGCTGGCCACTATCAGAAATGCTATTAACGTATTTAAATGTGATTAAACTTTTTATCCTTAATTTTTCAATGAAATACATCAAGTGTTAGGGTCCCATGCTGCTTGCTTCCACAGTGCTGAGGGTGAAACCCAGACCCTGGAGCACGGGAAGTAAACACTCTGACCCTGAACTACAGCTTCACCCGAGTCGTGTGACTTACGTGTGTGTGTGTGTGTGAGTGTGTATGTGTGTGTGCATGTCTATGTGTGAGTGTGTATGTGTGCGTGCATGTCTATGTGTGAGTGTGTGTGTGCATGTCTATGTGTGAGTGTGTATGTGTGTGTGCATGTGTATGTGTGAGTGTGTATGTGTGTGTGCATGTCTATGTGTGAGTGTGTATGTGTGTGTGCATGTGTATGTGTGAGTGTGTATGTGTGTGTGCATGTCTATGTGTGAGTGTGTGTGTATGTGTGTGTGCATGTCTATGTGTGAGTGTGTGTGTATGTGTGTGTGCATGTCTATGTGTGAGTGTGTGTGTGTGTGCATGTCTATGTGTGAGTGTGTATGTGTGTGTGCATGTCTATGTGTGAGTGTGTATGTGTGTGTGCATGTCTATGTGTGAGTGTGTGTGTGTGTGTGCATGTCTATGTGTGAGTGTGTGTCCATGTGCGCTCATGAGCGCTGGGTCTGTAGAGGCCAGGGGTGGCTGTGAATCAAACTCCAGTCCTCTGTAAGAGCCGTGGTGTACACTCTTAACCACTGGGCCGTTTTTCTAACCCTTGACTCCTCTCTCCTTGATACATCAAAGAAACAGTAACACACAAAGCAGCTCTGTCTCAAAAACAAAAACAAAGCAGTAACTTTTTAAACCCAGAAAAATGTAAAACTTTTGGTTTTCTACTATACAAACAGAGTTCAGGAATTTTAGTGAGAGTTCTACAAGAAAAACCAAGTCAATGGGAACTGCATCCCATGGACTCTGTAAGGGGAATACTCCAAGAAAATGTGTTGCAGGTTAGCATACAGCCGTAGGCGAGCACCGTCTCTGTTGCTTCTGTTACTTTTGTTGGTTTTTGAGATTCCAGGTGTTTCAGAACCCACCCTGTTTTCAGTGAGTAGAACCACGGTCCCTCCGCCAGTTCACCACCCGTTGGAGGACAGCATCCCAGCCCCCTTTTCTGTACCCGAAAGAGGCATTCATGGAAGCAGCCAGGGTGAACCTAAAGCCATACATCACCTAAAGGTGACCCCACCCCCACCCCAAGAAGCCAAGGAGCGGGATGTCACCCCTGCCTTCCATAGGCAGTCATGCAGAGAGGAATGTCAGAGACACTGAAGTCCTGGTGTAGAGACAAGGCTGCCACGTCTCTAGAGGGCCCGGCCGCTTCCTGCCCTGATGGGAATGGCACCCCAAGTCAAGTCCACAGATGCTGGTATGCCCATGGCCAGCAGGCCGTGGGGCCCGTGACAGTGAGAAGCAGCCCTGCCGTAGCTGGACACGTGCCGAGGGAGG